AAAAAAAAATGAAGATGAAGGACAATTTATCAGAGATAATAAATTTATACAGGAATAACTAACTATATATAAAATAATTAATCTCAAAGTAGGATAAAGACAAAATGCATGACTTCGTATAACAAATTTCAGTACTAGTAGAAAATAATTTCTTTGATTACTAATTGGAAATTGAATTTTGTCATACAAAATATATATAATATATATAATATAAAATATTGCCATATTTTTTATTGAATTTGAGGCTTAATTAATTTATATATTTGATATATATGATATTCATTTATATTTGTAATATTTCTATTTTAACACATACAGTCGTTTTGTGCTTCTGGCAACTGCTTTATCGTTTCATTAATCGCATTTGCCACATAATCCAAATTATTTTCATTGAGTCCGCACATATTTATACGTCCACTACTTAACATATAAATATGATAATAATTTCTCAGATACTGAACTTGTTTCTCTAAAAGAAAATCGGAAGAAAACATTTTTTCATAACTAGTTTTATCAAAATACTACATTGTAAAACCGAAAATATAATTTTTACAACTAACCTGTGAGTCCTGTATATGAGAACATTCCAATTTGCTGAATAATATGATCCCAAGTTCCTGGAGTATCTAATTTGAGCAATCTATGATATAAACCTATCCTCATTTGTTTAATTCTTCTGGACATTGTTTTAATATTATCCTTCCTAAATATTGAAACGCATTATTAAAGTAAATAATAAAGAATATGATTATTTTTTACAGATTTTTACAAATCAATACCATTCCTCAAAGAACTCCGGATTGTTCAGCACAGTTACAACAATTCGAGCTCCATGATTAGGAGGATTGCTATACATTCCTCGGATAATTAATGTTAATTGTGATTTAGTTTGAATCAATTCCTTTGTATCGGCCAACACAAAAACTATGTTACCAACTCTTTCGTTATATAATCCAAAATTTTTCGCAAAACTTTGCGTACAAATAAATTCGATTCCACGTTCGGCAAACATTCGTACAGCATACGCATCTTTATCTAAATCACCAGTTGCAAAGCCCTGTTAAGAATCAATGTGTAATCAAAATGACTACAAAAAGATCATGTTATTCTTATCATTCATTGTTTATTCTTCATACCATTCATTCGCTTAGATATTAATTTAGATACTGACCTGATATGCACAATCAAATAATGGGAAAAGGTTTTTTTCTTGTATTACATCAGCTATTTTAGTCCATTGCTCTGGAGTTGGATCACATCCAGTTGGATTATGTGCACATGAGTGCAGAATAATTACAGCATTTTCTGGAGCATCTCGTAAATCTTGGAGCATTCCTTCTAAATCGATATTACGAGTCTTTTCATTCCAGTATGTGTATTGACGAGCGTTTTTAAATCCTCCATTAATAAATACCAGTCTGTGATTTTCTGTCAGTACATATAATTTTACAAATATATGAAAATTTTCACCAGTAGATGAAATAAGAGAAAGAGAGAAGAGAGAGAATAATATATTTATTTTTTAAAATTACTTACCCCAGGAAGGTTTACTGTAGTAAAAGGTATCGTAATGTAGAATACGATTTAAAAATTCAGCAGCAACGCGTAATGCTCCAGTACCGGAAAGCGATTGAATACCAAAAGCACGTCCTTGGGCAATAACAGGAGAATTTATGCCTAATAACATAGTTGTAGCAGCTTCGTTAAATGTTTCTAAGCCAAGAACTGATAAATATTCATGATTTTGTAAATCATCTGCTGCAAGTGACATTTCTACTCTTTTTACAACTGGTAGCACCCATGGTTTACCTTCATCAGTACGGTAAGCTGAAAAAAATTTCTATATTTCTTAATAATTCATTATAAATTGATATAATATAAAATTAATTAAATATATTAAATTATAAAAAGAAATATAAATTTAAACATGTAATTTCAAGAAATGTTCTTGTGCAAAGAAACAATTTTTTTTATGTATATATTTATTTTTAATATTAATACTTTTTATTTAATATTATTACTATTTATAATACTTGTATTACAAATATATAAAAAAATTAATTTGTTAGATTTAAGGTCTGGCATTTTATAACATTTGCATTACATAGACTTTACTTTTATTTATTTTTATATATTATTTTCTTAAAATAATCAAGTTATGAAATATATGAGCGCGCGCGCACATGTGTGTGTGTCTGTGTGTGTATTTATGGATGAATGAGAAATATTATGTAATCACTCTGGAAAAGTCACTCAAGGGTACAAAGAATATGAAAATCAAAAGTAACTCTTATACATCTCATATTTCATATTATTAAAATATGTATATTTAATAGTAAAAATATCCTAATTTTTTAAAAATTAAGTTTATAAAAGCAAGCATCACTGTAAGACTGTGTGCATAAAATAAAATAAGATAAATATTTTCCCATTGTTGCCTTTCAGACAATAATGGGAAAATAAAGTAGTCTTAAATGTAATAGTTATAAGAAATAAAATAGTTACATACCTCCTATAGTAAGATTAACTTTCTTTTCGTAAATATCGTCGACGAATGCCTTTTGCAGTGCAAAAACCTCGATAGGAGGTCCCAGTTCTATTCCCTTGAATCTGGTTGTCATCATGTTGTAAAGGCGAGTAAACGATAGATAACAAGTAATAATATAAAAAAATAGAGTCAAATTAAGAATTGATACGAAAGGAAGAAAAAGTTCACAATTACAACGTGAAATATGCTGGAGTATGTGAAGAGAGTGGTGTTGAAATGAAGTCGCGCGAAGATTGGCGACCTGCGAACTTGCCAAATGATCTTTAATCTGACTATGTATGTGTATGTGAATGTGTATACGATTTTTTACACTGTTATACCGATTGACGTAAGAGAGGAGCTATAGCTATATACAAGTACAGCTATTTCACTTTCGTATCATGTGATACGCAGTGGCTCTCAATAGATTTGGAACACTATCGAATGCAATCTTAAGCTGAATACGTATGTATATGTTTTATTCTAGTGCTGAATGCACAAACGTATATTTAAAATTTATATATACAATCGCCGGTGTGTACACATAGAGAATTTTCCCAATGTAAATTATTTCAAAATTAATAACCATCTTTCGTAGCACACGTTTGAAAGATATGATTTAGCATTTTAAAATGCTAAATCAAATCTGTCTACGTAGATCATATATTCACAAATCGAATATGTGACTGAAGACAAATGAATTTAAAGTATTTGAGCAATCGGAAGAAAGAATTTTACCAATTAACCTATCAGAGAATGCAAACGGAAGATGAAATTTGGACGTTGAATGGCAGATTACTTCGCACTATTCTGTGATTGGTGCATAAAATCGTATCCCCTCCCAACAGTTTGCGGCGATTCATTTCAGGGCATAATTTTTGAGTGTACATATTCGAGCGTAGTGGAACGGTTTATTATATGTGTGCGAATTTGAGGAATAACAAGTTAAAAAGAAATTCAAACACAATTGCCACGAATTTGTCCGACAGATAACATTGAATTGTGTTCAATTGTCGAATATCAAGTACATACACGCGACGTGTACCTATACTTCGTGAATGTTAACGAAAGATAAATGAGTTTACAAGATAGCCTGTTTACCGAGGATGTCGAATACGACGTAATCGTCTTTACGAAGGATAAGACACGTAAGAGGTACGAGAAAATTATAACAAGATTCTTTGAATAGAGTATCGACGCCGACATCATGTTTGAAGGTTAGTTTCCTCACGGTATCTATTGGTGGCTGTGAACACGTAAACAGTTTCATTTACTCTTGATTTTGAATGACTTACATTTGTATATATATATGTGTATAGATTTGGCAAGTAAAGGATTCGTGAAGATATCGAATTGAATGAGATTATGTGAGTGGCGCAATCCCATGGTATAGGATTTAGCACAGGATTTATAAATAGCACAAGATATATATAGTTTTCGTTTTTCGCTACAGTACAAAGCTGGATCATGATTTCATTTTTTTATTATCATCTAAATACTGCTCCTAACTACTTATTCTCGTATACGCTATTTACGATTTGTGCTGTGCAAATTAATGCAAATAATTTTGAACTTGTTGATATATACAGCGATATATTGAGATTTGTGTACATTGGTGGGATATACGATATATCAGAAATAGTAATAATCCTGAAAAGTTTAATATCTCATAATAGACATTACATTTGTAAGTATCTATTTCTTTTCAATGCAATATTTGTATTATTCCATCCTAGATATTTATTTAATTTCGACGTTTTATTTTCGTTTGGAAATAAAATTGAAATTGAAACAACTCGATATAATTAATATCAATAGAACACAATTTTTTGATTTTGTTTTAATTGTAATTGGATTCTTATGTTCACGAATGTAACATATTCAGTTATTTCTATGTACACATAGTTATGTGGTATAAAGCAGTGCATTTTTATCTCTTTTGTGGTTGAAAGTATGAAAGTATACACCTGTTAAATTAGTTTCTCATTTTCATATATTTCTAATGATATGATATATGTAAAGCAAGTGAATATTTTTCCTCGCAATTGTTTGGATATTATTATGCTGTGTATCATATATACTATGCATATCATAATTCATGCTTATTAAGCAGTAAAAGACTCGATAAAAGAAAAAGAAAATTTGAGACAGGACAAGTTGTAAGCATCAATATCTACGCTACTCTCAAGTCTTTATGGAAATGAACGAGAGAGAAAGTGAATGGGTTATGTAAAAGTTAGCTGGCGTTTATCGTCTCTTCCCCTTCCTTAATTTTCTTAAACCAATGCCGTAAGGCATTACGTTCACCAAAAAGTACAAAACAGCCGATGCTGCGCTACCAACTACCAATACTCCGAATAGCAGGCCGTTCAATCTCACTTTCAATATATAAACGTGTTCGATAAACGTGTTCTTTTTTTTCACTTTTGTAGAGTGCTCGTCTTTCCGCCTGTCAACAATTATCGTCGGTTCATTATACATCAGCTGATACAGGATCATTTCTCGGATTTGCTGCATACATTCTCGATCGGCCAAGGTTCGGCTAGGCGTACTGTAGTATGTTACAAGACCGATGTGAGAAGGTACAAATAACAAAATGTTAAGAATCATTTTTTTTATCTTCGATATCCGTTAGCTATGAACTTTTCTGTTAAAATATTCATTCTACCTATGCGTAAACAACGATTATTTTTTTCGTCAACAATTTTTCACAATTATTCGATTTTCAAGCTAATATTAATAATTAATAATTAAATTAAGTTTAATTTACGTATTTATATTATTAAATTTGTATACGTTTAATTAAGCCGCATATAACAATAAATAATAAATATGTGTCTCTGTGTGTAAAATTGCAAAACTCTACCTTATCGCTCTTACTTATCGCAAACGAAAGTAAAATTGATCAAAACTACCTCTCGATCGTAATGTAATTCTACTATGCGCCGATATTGTGCTTATTAATTACAATCACGATACATTAAGCATGTTTTTAATAAAATTTTGCTCCAGAAGAATAACATATTTTATTATAATTATAAAAACATTATTTTATTATAAAGCGATTGGAACCCAAAACCGAATTTTCCTGAGTCTAAGACAAACTTTGTGACAAAACAAAAGGATACAATTCGCGGAATGGGTATCGAAGGCCGACGCTCACCCTCGACATCTCCAGAATGCAAATTACAGCGGCAAGGTGATTACGAATATCACTCATGTAGCACGTATGGATTTTATATATGTTTTCTAAACAGCTAGAAAATATTAGGTTTAAAAAATATATATAAACCAATATGTGCTATTTGAATAAATAAATTGTTGTTATATCTTGTGACATTATCAAATAAGATATATTTCAAAATAAATTAGTTATGGAAGATTTAATTTTTATTTAAATGTAATTTTAGCCAAGTCAGTACCAACAGTTGAAATATATAGGCCACCAGCGGCTAGGAAACTTAACAATTGTTCACAGATAAATGGTACACAGACACAGGTACAATCGACTGCAGATTTTTCTTCGGTCAAGTAAGTAAACTCATTTCTATGTACATTATTACTGTTAATCATAATTATTGTATAATCATTCATACATACAAACATTTTATATGTACTAGATTTGTGTGATCTACATATCGTTTTCTTTTATATTAGCGTTATGATTTTACATATTATGATTGATGTCAACTATTCCAAATACATATTGTTAATATACGTATATGTATGCAGAAATGTACGTCAAAAACGACCTGATCGAGCGGTTTATGTACCTAGGCATCGCAGAAGTTTAGAAATGGAAGATAAAAAGCCACACAGTTTGAAAGTTTCTCACACGTTAAATGGAGATTCAATTATGAATAATAATTCTAAACTACAAGATGTATGTTGTAGTCAACAAAATGTAGGCGATCTGACTTTACATAATCAACTTTCTGAGAATTGCAACGCGAAGATCGAGGATAAACATTTCTTACGAAACATTTCAAAAAATATAGTTTCTTTAGATTCTAGCAAAATCTCCGATACTCTCGATAATACCGAGCATATGTATCAATTTTCGGAGCAATTAAAAGATGTGCCAATTTTATCCAAAGAGAAAGAAACTGTAGCAATTAATAATGTAAATGAAAATAGTACTAATTTCAATCTGTTGGAACCATCCAGCCAAATTGAAATTAATGATAAACAATTAGAAAAGATACAAGAAATTGTGAACGAAAACCAATCCTCGATCGAATATTTAAATTGTAGCGATGTAAATGATCATAAAGACAGACAACTAGGTAGACAGAATGTAATATCGGATGTTCTAATAATTTCCGATACTATTCAAAAGAAATCTAAACAGTCTGAACAACTTTCTCCAATTCTGGTAACACCACCCGAGAAAAAAGTAAAAAAGATAGAAAGGCAAAAAAGCAAACCGGTTCCACCACCTTCTCCACCTCTGAAAATGAACAGAGACGAATGCGATTGGGATAGCTTATTTGACGATAATGGCGATTGTTTAGATCCAACATTAATAGAAGAGGTCAGTTATGTATTTAAGTTCAGTAACTTATCGCATTCACTATTTTATGTGTACATAATTAGTCAGTTATTTACGTATCATCTCTTTCTTTTTTTTTTTAGCTTACGTCAGCAGTAGGTGAAGTAGCGATAGAACAACCAAAAAACGATTACAAAGCATACAGCAAGCAAGTCGAAGTGTCTAGTGACGAATTTGCACATGTCGTAGAAATTTATAATTTTCCTTCCGAGTTCAAAACTAGCGATTTGGCAGCTGTTTTCAGTTCTTTTAAGAATGGTGGTTTTGAGCTCAAGTGGGTGGACGATACTCATTGTTTGGGAGTTTTCAGCAGTCCTCTTGTTGGTATGTATATAGACATATCTAGTAATTTATATCTATGAATACGAAAATATATAATATGTAATATGTCTTTATTGAAAACAACTTAATAACTTATTTTTAACAAGGAAATTGCATTCGAGAAAATTTACGATTATTTTGCACATCTTTGTTAATAATATAATAATCGATATTCATCATTGATGATCATTGAAAATAGTTTTCTTCCAAATTAAATCCAATTATAATCAGATTTATTACAGTTAGTATATTCTTTTTTGCTTCTTTTTTATCTTCCTTTAAGCTGCCCAAGTGTTAGCATCGAATCATCCATTTGTGAAAACAAGACCACTTAGCGAAGCTACTGCTTTAAGTAAAACGAAAGCTAGAAGAAGCGCAGAATTCTTGCAACCTTACAGGAATCGTCCCGAAACATGCGCTGCCTTAGCTAGACGATTAGTTACAGGTGCATTGGGCGTAAAGCTTGCCACAGCTAGACAAGAACGTGAGCACGAAAAGAATATATTACGTGAAGCGAAAGGTAATCTTTGAATA